CGTGATAAGAACCTAGCTTGGAGAGATATCACTCAAAGATTTCACATTACAAGCGTATGATGCTTTGAAGGAGCTAGTGAGGGATTGGACAATGAATAAGATGGCAACATTGTTCCAGAGTTGGAAGAAGACATTGTATAAAAAGTTTATCTTGAAGAATGCTACGCCAATTTCAATGCTAAGGCGTTTGTCAAGTTGAGTCCCATTGGGATGCCTTCGTAGAATATAAGACATCTCAAGACAAAGGAGGAACGTGTGATGAGGAATCGGCGAAATGCCGGCGGAAGCAATACCATCATCGCATGGGATCGGTGGTTATAGGAGTGCTATTCAAGTGGCGTAACCTAGAAGCGAGATTACCGCCAAGGAATCATACCTGAAACAATAGAAAAGAACTGGCCTCAACGCGAAGAATTGGTTCTACGCTCATGGGGGAAGCCTAGACCCGCATTAATCGCAAGCTAATTTTCGGCCAAAAATTGAGAGAGCAACACAGAGACTAGCTCGTGCTAGGGAAGAAGTCGATAGTGGTGTTTTCAAGCCCAACAGAGAGAAGGATGAATTGACATATGCCCTAGAGAATCCTTAACACGGTGGTCGAACAAGAGGCTATGGGGCGGTTCCGTGGCTACACGCATTCCCAAAGCAGACAAGGATACCTCATGAAGCCGCCAGAGAAAGAAGGATGAGGAGGCGAAACGAATTCGTGCATTGGAGCAATTTGTTGATGAGTCACGACAAGCATTGCTTGAATCACGTGAACGAGAAAAATCTCTTGAGGCAAGAATGCGGGAGGAGATCAAGAGGCAAGTGCAGCTAGCAAAGAGTCAAATGCAATCGCAATCAACGCCGGAGTCACCATTAGCCCCGCTGGTCGATGAAAAGCGATTGTGCTTCTACTGAGCTGCCAGATTATTCAAGACGACGCTGGGTTGCGCTTCCTCGTTGATGACATTACCGAGCCTCTAACAAAATGTGAGCTGCACATTCCGATGGTAATGCATCAATCATGGTGGTCACATCGGGTTGTATCTCCAATAGACCGAACGAAGACACCAAGAATCCATGGGTCGCTTATTCAACCCGGATATGCTAGCGTCTCGGTCGATAGAGTGCTCAAAGGTTACAAAGAATGTTCCTCTTGACATTGAAGGCGGTGATGGGGAGAAGACACTAGGAGAAACAGAGAAGACATTTATTCAATAGCGCAAACGCTTCATCATCATTCCCGGCGCCACCGCTTCCCCTACCTCACCCTAGGTACGAATGAAAGTGAATGAAATATTATTTTCCATTAATTTTCTATTGGCTTCAAAAATAATTGACACACAAATTGTTTTTATAGCAGGTCTCCCCAAATTTAGCCTAATCATTCATTCCCCATCTCATCACAAATAAGTCATGGGCGAGACGACTTCATCCCCACGGCGATCGCCAACTCCTACACCGCCCCATCGCCTCCACAACGATCTCCAACTCCTACACCGCCCCACCGCCTCCCACAACGATCTCCAACGTCTCCACGCCGTCTCCACCAACACCGGCCTCATCGCCTCCACGCCGATCTCCAACACCGCCCCCACCCCCTCCACAGCGACGCACTACAAAGACGTCTAAGGTCCCGGCGGCAAAGAAGACCCCAAGAAAAAGAGTTATTTCTCAAGAAATACTTCCTGAAAAGACTGATGAGCAAATAGCAGCTGAAGAAGACAAAAAAGTAAAAGATTTTTTTATAGATATCAAAAACAAGAGTCAAGCAAAGCTTAAGGAGAAGCCGTACTTTTACATACCACGAGATGTGCTGAGGCAGAAGGTCGATGCTCACAAGAAAAAGATGATTGAACTTCGTAAGCCTTCGCCACTATCAGACTATGACCGCTCCCTCGTGAAGTCACATGATGCAGATAAGAAAAGGAAAAGAGCATCAGGGAAGGATGTCCCACACTCGGACAATGAAGCAACCAATGCAAAATCTTGTTGTTGCTAATGAATATGGTTCCAACATAGAAGTCTATCGACCGGACATACTCGGAGAAGTGTCGGTTCAAGCCCTTAATGCTTTTTTTAAAGATATCTGGTTTAACCTTGGATCAATTGACGGGCAAAGCTCCAATCCGAACACGGAAGTTGATACCGGAAGACTTATAAATATGGCAAAAGTCTCAGTACAACCTCGCGGCTCAAATGAATTGGGTACGCAAATGTACTTGCTCAACAAGTGGTACATGCAAAGCGTGTGGCGGGGGTGTGAGCAGTGGATCTTTGTCGATTTAGAGACCATCATTACTTCCGTGGCGATGACATCTTACATATTAGTTTCAAGAATTGCATCAACTATTCCACTTGGACGCCCGGACAAATCAATCATGAGCTCCTTTTGTTTGTAAGTGATTCTTACTTTTATTTAATAAACTCACTTCCATGCGTACGTGTATATAATTATATAGATTCTAGATGTCAGAGCTCCAAAGAATACAAGACACCAGTGTTGGCTTCATTGATCCTTATATCGTATTCAAAACCGATATTATTGTCAAGGACCACTTGGTATCCCCGCTACGTGAACGAATATCATGAAGTTCTTCGTGAAGCAAAGACGACAAGACAACAATACTTTTCCGTACAACTTTGAGTAAGTGTTAATAATAATGTAGTCTACACATTTTATGTAATATCAATACAACTTATATGCATGTACGTGTGTGTATAAACCAATGCAGTTTTCACTGGATACTCATTGTCATTGAGTTAAACTCAAGTCGGTTACTAATCTTTGACTCGTTGAGAAAAGAACGAGCACTATACCAAGATATGATAGACATTATCCAGGGTAATTTCGATCTCTCGCGCACAACTATTATTGAATAGACTTTGCCATAATTTATTAACGATCGTACATTATTGGTCGCATTGTGGTTTGGAAAGAGTTTATTCGGCAACATCGCAAGGATTGCAAGGCACCACTTAATGTAGTTGAAATACCAAATAAGTTGTACTATATACACTTCCCCACGTGTTTAATTACTATATCGTACTTCAATTTACGTGTGAGATGATGAGAATAATCTTCTTCTCGTCAAAAGGGTGTTTCTGGCGGGAACCGGTAATAACTTGTGTGGATACTACGTTTGTGAATTTATCATCACTGCATACATAAGAAGAACTCCTCAAGATGTCCTCGAGAGTAATATATATATCAATTTTATTTATTTTTAAATGAATATATATACATATATGTGTATTAATACTTTTCCTTTTATTTCAAATGCAAGACTGAATGGTTGAAACGAAGGGTCATGCAAAAGACCATCTGAAAGCGCTTCAAGAGTCAATAGCGTGGATATCTTCTAGAAAAAGTGCTAAATCCCAACGGCGAGTTCTACTTTGATCTTAAGGAATAAATGATGTAAATTAAATGTTTATTGATATCGTTATTTTCGAGAACAAGATTATGAAAGTGTTGTATATATACATATATATATATATCTATAATATATATAGTTTCATACTTTATTCGAATATAATATGTTCAAGATGAGAATTAGATGTAATTATATGCATGCAGTATTTATATTAGCAACGTAGAATACGTACATAAAAACATATTATATATTAAACAAATACGTGTAACTGAACTGAAAACAAATTAAACAAAAAAAAAAAAAGAAAAGGAACCTTTAGTCCCGGTTGGGGTTACCAACCGGGACTAAAAGGAACTGATTAGTCCCGGTTGGTAACCCCAACCGGGACTAAAAAATGCGCCAGTTCGCTGGTTGGAGGGCCTTTAGTCCCGGTTGGTGTTACCAACCGACTAAAGGTCCTCTTTAATCCGGCTCGATGCCGGGACTGAAGGTTCCACCTTTAGTCCCGGGATCGTTGTCCCGGCGCGGTAACCGGGACTAAAGGCTGTTACCGCCCGGGACAACAGGTCCATTCTGTAGTAGTGCGATATCGCCTCAACCTTTGAATACATGTTGTAGTATCTCAACTCATGCACTCACACCGCACACCACACGCATGGTCTATCCATGTGAGGCATCGAGCATCCTGAAAACAAAAGGGAGAGCAAATCCTGGTGGAAGACGTACGTGAGTGGAGCAGGGCTTGAACTCATGACCGGCACAACTCCTCCACTGGAGTACTTAGCTGCCCGAGCTATGGCTCGTTCCCAGAGTTTTGTTGTTTTGAGAGAGAACTGAGATATTTTTTGGTTGACTAATTTTGTAGCGTGATCCTAGAGTTTTACTGTTTTGACTTTTGAGGAAGAAGAACTGAGATTTTGGTTGACTAATTTTGTAATGTGATTCCCACAGTTTTGCTGTTTTGAGGAAGAAGAACTGAGATGATGTTTGGTTGACTAATTTTGTACGTAGCGAGATCCGTTCGCACTGCCAACAGATCATGTTTATTTTTTGAGAAAGACAGTCAAAAAAGTATTATGTAATCAGATAACAATAGAACAGATCATGTTAGTTATTATTTCTTTCAAGTATTATGTAATCAGATAACACGGGAACAGATACGCCGTTCAGCGCGGAGATTATCCCCACGATCGGGCGGTAAACTCTTGTGGCGGCACGGATATATACCTTACCTGATGGACACAAGCAGAGATCATATATATATTTGTATGACAACTTGATGTATGACTTACGTTTGTTTCCAAAATGAAACCAGTTTACACAATTTATATATATACTAGTATACAAGACAAACAAAAAATAATATACACATAACAAGGAGAAATAAAACAAATTAATAATTGATTCGACATCTCAACACACAAACACACACATTGGATACCTAATAACTCAAAAGAGCTTAAGGCAAACAACACACATTGGATTCCCAAAAATAATTCAAAAGAGCTTACTAAGGCAAATAAATTAAACGACCGCGTGTCACGACTTTTATTTCTCTTATTTTATTTATTTAGGGCAGTGACAGCTGGTTGAAATTTTGGACGGCATTATGGGACGTACATGCATCAATCACCATGGTTAAACGGACTGAGTTATTTGAGGGGCCGTTATTGGAGGGGGCGGTGGCGGACTACGTTGTCTTTTCATGGAGATGTAGAAGAGGAAGACAACAAAGACGACAATGGGGAAGAGCATGATGACCTTCCAGGATCTGCGAGACTCCCGAGAGCTGCCTGCTGCGTAGGCTACCAGGAGGGCGAGCACGTCCATCACAACGGCTGCGTGCACCCGCCGGAGAGATGATATTTGCGGCAGCATCATCCGTGACAGCAGCAAGGCGATGACCATGATGGACGCCATGAAGGAAGTAGAGTTGCTGTAGAAGAAGACATTGTACCGCCGCTTGTTGGTGTCGTAGAGGACCGGGTTGCCAGCCGAGTGTCCGTCGCCGTCGTCCCTCCACATGCCACCAGGTGGTTTCAGGCCCGTCAGGTAGGTCACACTGGCAGCCAAGATCCCTACCAGCATCAGGTAGTAAGCCATGTCTTCTTCATCCTCTTTAGTCTTGTTTTCCTCGTCGTCATTTTTTGAGAATGGGGACTCTTGTTCTTGTCCTTGATGTCGATAACGGTTGATTGCCACGCCGATTACAATGGCAATACCTGCAGCAACGGATGCCAAGAAAATGATGGAGGTTCGAAGATGCAGGGAGCTTCCAGCGGCGTAGGCACCCATGAGAGCAAACATGCCGACCACCATGCAGACATACAGCGCGTAGCACCGTATGCCCGGCTTGTACAGGTTCTCGTTCAGGAGGAGGATGATGAGGGCCATGGACGCCATGAAGCTCGCCGCGTTGCAGTAGAAGAAGGCCATGTAACGCCGAGGGTACTTGTCTTGGAGGACCGGGAAGCCCGCACGGTGGCGGAGCCTGTCGTCGTCTTCCTCCCACAGGCCACCCGGCGGGGTCAGGCCGGCCTGGTAGGCGAGTGTGGCAGCCAAGATTGCAAGCAGCAGCAGCATCTCGCGCTTCTTCTTCAGATTAGCATTCTTCTTAGCTTCATATCGCTTGTGATCTTCATCGCTGCTCCGGGCGGCAGTAGGCTTGCTGCTGGGTTCCAGCGTGCAGAAGGCGATGTGGATGACGACGTAGATGAGCACGCCGCCGGCGATGGCGAGCGTGTAGATGGAGGTGCTGGTGTCCCTGCTGCTTCCGGCGGCGTACGCGCCGATGAGGCCAAAGAAGTCCAGGATCAAGGCCGCCTCCAGCGCGTGGCCTCTCACGAGCTTCGCGCTCTGCAGCATGACGATGATGACCAGCGATGCCACGAAGGCCGCCGAGTTGAAGTAGAAGAAGACCTTGTACCGCCCGGGGTGTGTTGTCAGGAGGATTGGGTCTCCCACATTGTGACCCTCTCCGTTGGCTGCCCAGACGCCGCCAGGTGGATCTAGTCCTGCTGTGTAAGCCACGGTCGCAACAAGAGTGGCAAGCAACTGAATATATTCACGGGTCTTATCCAGGTCTTGGGTTTTGTCGGCGATCCAACTGTTTGTGATGTCACATAATAAACATATGCCATTAGCATTTGTTATGTATAGATTTATTTGATACTCCCTCGCTCCATTTCAAATTATACGGGACGTCTTGCCATATAAGACTACCCTATGTCCCTGAATAAATAGATTCCTATAGTTGTCTTAAGTCAAACTTTTTAAACTTCGACCGAATTTCTAGAAAAATACATTAAGATTTATGGTATCAAATTAGTATCATTAGATATATTATAGAATATATTTTCATAGTATGCCAATTTTACATCATAGATGTTATTACTTTTTTCTATAAAGCTAGTTAAATTTAAAAAAGTTTAACTGGCACGAATAGGAGAAATTGATTTATCTAAGGACGGAGGGAGTACTTAGTTTTTGTTGTGTATTTAGATATACACTATATGTTTAGTAGCTAGGTACAAAAGCCAAAACGTCTTTATAATTTTGGAATAAGGAGAGTAATAAATAAATATATGATAATAAATGCATGCGTAAAGGAAAATGGAAGGCCAAAATTGAACTACTATGCAAGGCAGATGAACGAATATGGAGTATTACTATACCTGAAGGGCCCGAGCTTACTGGAGTATTTGACGAGTGCTTGCATGCGATGTTGGAGAGCATGCTGGAGGCACATCAAGACAACAACTGGGATACCTAGGGCAACAACAAGGGCGGTGTGGGTGCCGTCCCTACAGCTCCCGGCGGCGTAGGAGCCCCCGAGGCCCAAGAGCGCTAGGATGATGAAGCCATACAGCGTCACCAGCCTACTATTTCTCAAGGTGGTGTCGAGCTTCTCGTGGTCGACGACGATCATAATGGCGAGCAGGGACGCGACGAAGGCGGTGGTGTTGCAGAAGAAGAAAGCCTTGTAGCGGTGGGGATGGAGGTGCTGCAGCACCGGGTCTCCGGCGGCGTGGTGGCCCTCCACGGTGTTCCGCCAGAAGCCACCGGGCGGGTTCATCCCGGCCACGTACGCGATGGTGGCGCCGAAGATGGCGAGCACCAGCAGGATCTCGTGCTTCTTCTCCAGCTTCTCGGTGGTGGTTTTGTTCCTGCGTACGACGTACGTCGCAAAGGCGATGGCCCCGTAGGCGGCGGCGCCGGACACCAGCACGGAGGCGCAGATGGTGGTGAACCTGTCGTGGCTGATCCCGGCGGCGTAGGCGCCCATGAGGCTGAGCCCGTCGACGAGCATCACCGTCCACATGCGGAGCAGGTACCCCCTGCTCCCTTCTTTCTGTAGCAAGAGGACGAGGAGGCCGAGCAGAAGCGACGCGGAGAAGGAGATGGCGTTGAAGTAGTAGAAGAGGATGTACCGCCAGTAGTTGGTCTCCCGGAGGATGGAGTCGCCGGCCACCTCCCCTGCCGACGCGTCGTCCACCAGCCAGGACCCCCCCGGCAGGTTCAGCCCCGCCACGTAGGTCACCGTCGCCACCAGGGTGGCCAGCAGCAGCAGGTACTTCTTCAGCAGGTACTCCGTCGATGCGGGAGGCGGAGCATCACCACCGGGATCGGCCATGCTTAGTGTTGGGTGCCTGCGTTGGAGCGTAGTTCATGAAGCTCTGAGCAGGGATGATTCCCTTGGGGCTCAGCTCTACGAATTTATAGAGCTCAGCTGAGCTCATGGAGCGGGTACATACATGGCTGTGATGTGTGCGTGTGTCCCAATAATGGCATTACTTGATCAGATCATCTTATTTTGGACTTTATGTATTCCCTTGTCATTCCAGGACAGACTTTAAGAAAATGTTTTTATGCCGTTTGCATCCGGTAGCCTATGTCCCTCATGCAAGTGACCATTGGGTTGGGAGCACGTCGGTCCATCATGTCTCGTCCACACTTTATGGGTGTATAGTGTGAACTATTGAAGGCCATTTTCTAAATTAAGCTCCCAACCCCCACCTCAGAAAGAAAAAGCTTCTTCCCCAAACTAGACTGGCCCAGTGGTATCTTCAATTTCCAGCCTTGCTTATGGTATTCCCACGCAACAACAAAAGACCTCTGATGTACACGGCAGGTTTCGGTTCCTCATGTCATCTATACTTGTTCTGGAGCTGTGACTTCTTCGGAATTGATTGAGTGCTAAATTTGTGCTATAGATTTTTTTCGCGGCCATGCCTAAGCATGTTTTTTCATTAAGAGTAAAGAAAATTTACAAGAAATAGTCTTAGTAAGCCAAAAGGCTTAGGCCCTCTCCAATGTGTCGCTAGAGTAATGCCTAAATATGAGATAGAGGATATAAGCACCACTCTCCACGCTGCAGCATGCGGTGCCAGCTCCTAAAAAACTTGGAGCGGCGCAACTACTTGCGCCGATGCCTACTCCTAAAAAGCTGGTAAAAGTACTGCCATGCACCACTGCTTGCTCCTGAAAAGTTGCTGCTGCCGCTGGGGAGAGAAGAAAAGAGTAAGCAAGTTAATTTTTTTTATTCCTATATTGTGCGTCCAGCTACAGGAGGAAGTGATGCCTCACGCTGCAGTTTTACAAGCAAAGCTGGGGATTGCTTATGACATGACGTTCCAAGCAGCACTAGTGAAGCTTCACACTGTGGAAGGCCTTACCATGCAAAACCGACATGATCCCTGAAAAACTAGCCTCACAGGGATCAAACAGAATTCATAATTAAAGCGATTACATACAAATAATTGACGACTAAGCTACTATCAACTCTAAAAGAAACAGCGAGCGTAGTGGCTCAGCTAGCCACTAAGGACAACACCTCTAGGCAACCGAGACCTCCATGTAGCTCCTCAATTGAAACGAGAACTTCATTGATGTCCGCGGAGGAGATCGATGCAGCACCAAAGCATCTGATAATTGAGGCAGCGACATGGGGAAGGCAATCAGAATGACCTTAATTTAGAGGCAAGGCATGGATCAACAACGTATGTCAGGAGCCTTTGGCCACCATCTCATGGCCGTGCAACAACGACATTGGATCATCAAAAGACTGAAGCTTATCATCAAATAGATTTTTCTTGTCCAATGCCAACCCTAGACGACTCATCACTTCCCTTGTTGTTTCCAGCTAAACTGGAGGCGACATGGGCTCCTCTAGCAGTGAGAGGGTGGAGGAGGAAATACCCATAGAAGCGACGACGACGCCTCCAGACCATCATCTTCATGGCTGCGCAACAGCGACATTGGATCATCAAAACACTTAAGCTTATCATCAGACAGATTTTTCTTGTCCCATGCCAACTCAAGACGAGACATCACTTCCGTTGTTGTTTCGTCAGCCAGGCTGGTTTCATCGAGCCCAGGGCGCCCGGCCAAGGCGCAGCGCAGCGCAGCAGAGCCGGCCTGGTTGGTTTAGGAACTGGCCAGGCGGCCGGTTTAACAGGGAGGCCGGCATCTTCTACCTCATTTTCTTCCCAGACTTCTAATGTGCGATGTTCCAAAATATTACTTGTTATTATATTGCTGTCTAGAACATTGTTACAAAGTCCTCCTGTCACCTTTTGTCGTCAACAATATCACTTTTTAAAATAACTAAAAAGGATGTGATTGTAGATGCATGCTCACAAGTAACTGCAATGGAAAATGAGCAACTCAAGCAAGAAGTGGCTCGTCTCACCAAGGACTTGATCTTAGTGAAAGACAAGACGGAGCAAGCCTAACCTCATGCTCGTATGAGTTAAAACAGCTTGTGTCTAGTGATGATCTATATTGAGTCCGGTTACAAGACATTGGGTCACGCCCTGTGTATCTAAGTTACAGCTCGTGTCTAATGATAATACATAGAGTAATTTTCGAGTATTCATTAGGTTCAGTTGGAACTCTCAGGCATATTTACTACTAGGGGTATAGGAAACTAACTCAAGACATGGACGCACAACCCTTGGACTGACATCTTGAAGGAAGCTTAGAGCAAACAGACCATGTGACAAGACAACAACAAAAAAATAAAAAGGTAGCAGAGCGTTCACTATTGCATTTGCCATTATGAGGAGGAGACCACCGACACGGAACCACTCAAGCATGTTCACCTGGGTTAGGCTGGCTGGGCCACATTAGCTGATTGCCCGTGAGATTTTTTGTCACCTCCATTTTGCTTCCACAATGACAGGATGACCTTCCAGGACGTGTGCCACGCCGGAGCATTGCCAGCCACGTACGCTATCAGGATGGTGAGGACGTCCATTAAAACGGCCATGTGCACCGGCAGCACACTAGTAGAGAACAGACCTTGATCCTCGGCTAAAATGGGCTCTAGTCCCAGAATTTCTTGCGCCCAGGACTAGAGATACCTTTAGTCCCGGTTGGTGGCTCCAACCAGGACTAAAGGTCCCTGCCTTAACGGCTATCTGCGCCCATGTAGGTGGCAGGGACCTTTAGTCCCGGTTGGAGCCACCAACCGAGACCAAAGCTATCTTTACTCCCGTTGGTGGCTCCAACCGGGTAGTAATGTCTACTCCCGGCCGTGGCTGTGCCCGGGTTGAAAGTTACCTTTAGTCCCGGTTGAGCCACCAACCGGACTAAAGGTCCCCTTTATATATCGGTCGCCTCCTTCTTCTTCCTCCCCGAGTCCGAGCTCAAAGACATTTTGAAGCTCACTTTGCACTAGTGTTCTTGCTTCCTCCCTCCCTCCATTGTTCCTCCATCCATTCTTCGATTTCTCCGTCGATTTCTTCGATTCCTCAGTCGATTCTTCAGTTGTAAAGGTTACCAATCTCATACTCTCATTTTTCACCATTGTTTTATGTCATTTTGTTTACTATATATATATGGTTCTTTATTGTGGTTTTTTTCATTTGTAAACAATTTGAGCTCAAAATCAGTTCAAGCTTGCATATTTACATGAAAGAAGGTTAAAGTATATATAAATATAAACTTAGAAAATAGTTAGAAAATTATAGAAAATCCGTACTAGTTGAACTTGCGGACCGTGTTCATTTCGGCGAGCATGTTCTCTGCCGAGCGATAACGGACGTCAAGGAGGAGCTTTGATTCTACGAGGGAGAGCGGCAACGGTCGTGGAAGACCGTGTTCCCTTCCTCGTAGAATCGGAGCTCTTCCGTGGCCAAGTACGGTGCCGTCCGGTGGAGAAATGCTCGCCGAGATGATCACGTAAGCAAGTTGAACTAGTACGGATGATTATTTATTCACATGTCCCGATATCGCTGCAGTAGTCTCATCAATCACCGTACCCCAAACGTAGTATATATATAAATATAAACTTAGAAAATAGTTAGAAAATTATAGAAAATCAGTACTAGTTGAACTTGCGGACCATGTTCATCTCGGCGAGCATGTTCTCTCGCCGAAGCGATAACGGACGTCAAGGAGGAGCTTTGATTCTACGAGGAGAGCAGCAAAACAACGTCGTGGAAGACCGTGTTCCTTCCTCGTAGAATCGGAGCTCTTCCTTGACCAAGTACGGTGCCGTCCGGTGGAGAAAATGCTCGTCGAGATGATCACGTAAACAAGTTCAACTAGTACTGATGGTTATTTATTCACATGTCCCGCTATCGCCGCAAAGAATCATCAATCACCATACCCAAACGTAGTATATATAAATATAAACTTAGAAAATAGTTAGAAAATTATAGAAAATCCGTACTAGTTGAACTTGCGGACCGTGTTCAGCTCGGCGAGCATGTTCTCTCGCCGAAGGGTAATGGACGCTCAGGAGGAGCTTTGATTCTACGAGGGAGAGCGGCAACGGTCGTGGAAGACCGTGTTCCTTCCTCGTAGAATCGAGCTCTTCCTTGACCAAGCACGGTGCCGTCCGGGTGGAGAAATGCTCACGAGATGATCACGTAAGCAAGGTCAACTAGTACGGATGGTTATTTATTAAAACATGTTTTGAGCTATAATGTATTAAAAAATGAGTATAGAGATATAGATAATTTTATAGTTTCTTAATTTTATTTGTTTATAAAAGGAGAAATTTATAGTGTATTAAAAAATGAGTATAGAGAGTAGATGGCAACTCGCTTCCGGGTCCTCGGCCTCTCATGGGTTTCCAAAGCGACTTAGGGTTGGGCCTCCTCTCATTCCATGCGGCAAGTGTCGTGATGAGACGAAGATTGTGATGGAGTACCGAGTGAAGAAGGAGGGTCCCAACAAGGATCGTATCTTCTACAAGTGTCCGGATCGCAATGTGAGTTATTTTATCATATTTAATGATTATGGTTAGTTTATACCTATTTTCATGATGGTTGTGATTAAAGTTCTAATTTTTTGTTTTAATTTCAGTGGGATGGCAGTGGACGATGTTTAGGCTTCTACTGGGAGGAAGAGTATGTTGAAGTCGTGCAAAAATATCTTGCACAACAGGCAGATACGACGGCTAATGAGGCAGTGATCCAGCCGAAGAAGCCCAAAGATGTTGCACAATCGGGGGATCTGTCTGTTTTAGTTGAGATTGGTCGCGAAATCCTTGTGCTCCTGAAATGTATTTTAGCTTTAGTTCTTTTAGTGGTAGTTGGGATTGTCTATATTGTAGCGATGCTTTCATAAATTTGTATCTTTTGTGGTGGCACGCATGCTATATAAATAATTAATTATGATCTA